CTGTTTCCTTTATAGGTTTTGTCCCGCTTACATCATCTACTCCTCCTTTTGGACCAACCTCTCTTCCTCTCTATATAAATAGGAGTTTGAAAATGACCCAATTTATAAATGTCTTGATTACATCTTCCTCTTTCACACACACATTGTCACCACAACCACTATCAAATTGCAGTGTAATTTCCTGCTAAGTCTCTGGACCTTCATTTGAATTACATTACACTAACCGCATTGAGTCCTCAGAAAATTTCTCCTGAACTAAGAAAGATTAATAAGTATTTGTCAATGCTTCAGCAGCTATTATCACTTACTGCAGCACCATCAGATGCATCTCATCTGAGCCATCCTCCCCACTCCCACTTCCATACATCCTTTCAATACAATAGATTGTTACATCTACACCTACTGCTTCACCTCCCATGACACATTTGGTTTAGGAATTGAATAACTTTCTTATTTTGTAAAAGCAGATACAAAATAACTGAAAGCTCAAGAACTTGTCTCTCTCACCAACAAAAATTGGTCCAATAAAAGATATTACCTCACCCACCTTGACTTTCTGATAAAGCATATGTTCAAATTTAATCTCCTGTCTCTTTGGCCAGATATTAAAGGCCTTGTAACATTCCCTTGGCCTTTATTACCCAGTCTTAACTGCAACAACCAAAACAACTAAGAAAAAATCTTTAGGCTAACACTTATGGATATTAAATCCCTTGTTCTGGAAAATTTAGATCAACTTTAATTCATTTATTTTATCATGCATTACACTGAACAATTGTAATTCAAGGATATGATAAAAATTCTTAGTCCAGAACTCTAACATTCCACAACTATTATAAATTCTTATAGGCAACATGTCCTTATGGCAACTTCAGTACACCCAAGCTCATACTGGGAAGGAACATTTTAACTTTGAAAAGGAGAGAAGATTATTAGGATCTGATACTGACTCCCTCTGGAGCCTGCCACAAGTCATTTAACATCTACACTTCAGTTGCCCCTTCTGTAAAAAAAGGAATAGTACTTAGCTACCTAAACAAAGGGGTCATGAAAATAAATTAATACTGATGACAAGAGCTGTGTAAGTGCCAAATACTTTTAATAATTGGCTTCTTAGCTCCACATGGTCAGAGGTGCACACACAAATTATTGACTGTTTACTAGTAGTGTACCACTGCATTTTCATTTATTTTTAATTAGCATTCCTATCTATGACACTCACTCAGGTACCAGATTTTGACTCCAGTATCCACTAAAATCCATTATAAGCAATTTCACTAACTTCTAAAATTCTTCATAACCAAAAATAGTTCTAAAGCAAAGCATTAAGAATCTTTGACTGTTAAATGTTCTGAGTTATTTAAGGCCAGTTTTCACAAAAAGTCTAATACCATTTAATTCCATTTATCACACCCTCTCCCATGCTTTTACTTCTGAAGGCATTAGTTGTTGGCACTTTCATAGATAAGTTTATTTCCATTATTGTATCCTGTTGTACATAAGTTACTTTTCTAGAGGACATATTTGGACAATAGTTGATTCCAATTAATTTTCTCCAAATGTTCATTAAGTCACCCTCTTACAGTTCAATCATTTATGCTGAAAAATAACAATTACATCAGGACATCATGTTTCAAATATCATGATACAGTACTGTATTTTAATCACAAATTTTTATTTGAATTAACGGATGTAAACCTCCAATTTGTATATTCATAACAGTCCATGCATTGGTTCCCACCAACATGTAAAAAGAAAGTTGCTTACAAAAAAGCAACCTGCCATGGTGATTCTGCAATTTAGGATCAGGGTCAAGGTCAAAGCACTTAAAACCCCTGAACTGATTCTCTTTAAAAAGGTTCTCTTACCTGCATACTTATTTTGAGGGATATCAACAGGATATGGAACTAGTTAGACTTCAGTTTCTCTTTTAGTCTTTCATCTCACTCAACACTGCCTTTTGCTATTGTAGAACACTTTGCATCTACCCACCTACAGTGTCCCATATTACTTCCTATTGCTTCTAGCCTCTCTACCAACTTTATGTCCTGGAATTTTCAGGTCAGACAAAAAATAACTCTAGTGCAAGTTTATTTCATTTAGTAAAGTAATTGTTTCCTAAATACCTTGTTCCTGCATGGTTTGGGAACCAATTCTGTTTCTTGCTGAATAACATTCCTGCTAGCTTACAGTCCATTGAACATTTATTGGTCTCCTTCACATTCCTCCTTACTCTATCCACTGGTTACACAAAAATTACACACTATTCTGTGCAAACTGTCTGCTCCTGTGCTATTCAGGTACAACACATCGTTACTCCCGCTATATTTAATATGCTCCTCTTTCACCCAAATCCTACGCTTTCTATTGAACTTTCTATAGAAAGCCAATTATTTACCACTATAAGTCTGAACATACAAGTTTTAATGACTAACTGGTAGTAAACTCAAAAGAACTACTTTACATCCTTTTTCACTTCACAATCAAGAACTATCCAAACCGCAGCCTAAAAATCCTCACCATTTTCCTAAAGCAATACTGCACATGTGGGCAGGAAATCCAAAACTGCCATCAATTAATTTTCTTTTTTGTTTAGTTAATTTCAGATCCTAGAAAAGAAATGAGTACATCACTGGCTGTTTCCTTGCAGGTAAAGTATCTTCAATTACATCCTCCTGACATAAAATGCTTTCAAGAGATGCTCACAACTCAAACCAAATAGAGATCCTGAACAGAGAAATTTTTGCATTTCAGAAAATTAAAGACACCCATAGAAAATTGTCTGCAAACATTCCCACTAATTTAATAAACAACTAATCTGTTTTCCTTTGTGAGGAAAGATCTACTGGGAAGAAGATGGGGAATGGGCAGGTAGAGAGAAGAAAAAGAAACTGAGGTAGGAGTTGGAGCTACTTTAGATTTTCAAAAAAAAAGAAGCTGAACACTTTTGAAGGATGGTAGCAATTTGTAAGGTACTTCAATTAACTTATTTTTTCTGCAGAGAACTGGTAATAAATCTGTGGGAACGTAAACAGAAAAGAGGACTTGCAAAACTGTGCAGAAACAACAATCCCTGCTGTCATTGGTTAGTCTCTAAGGTGCCACAAGTACTCCTTTTCTTTTTTCTGATTAACAAGGTTAGTTTCTCTAGCAATGCAAAAGGTGAACGCTACTTCAGTGAGTATGTTTAACAAAAAATCTTTGGGTGACTTATACAGCCTGCTGTGTAGCAACCAGACTTACCAAGTCTCATGCATTTGGATGGAGATTCCTTCATTCTGCATTCATTTTAAGACCATTTTTAAAGTTTCTCCTTATTTTATTTGGGCACCCTTGACAATTTTTGTAAAATACAGTAAAGAGACCTCTCAATTACCCCCAACATCAAATCAATTCATCCAGCAACAATATTAGCTAAATACAGTATTAACCTCCCCAGAAAATTTCCCCAGAGTACTATACTATACCATCAATACCCAGCCATACCCCTCACCTACATCTCCTTATGGGTGAGGGAGAAGTGGGCCTTGCAGGACACCTTGAATACTGACAAACTTGAGTTGTTGCTTTCCCACTTGGTCTGGGAGTCCCAAAGGCCATGGGGTCATAACAGAATGTGCTGTTATCCACCCTTCTCTCGTATCAGTGGGATCGCAGTTCAGACACCTGTGCTTACTGCAAATCCAACAATATTTCCTTCAGACAAGTAGGTGCTAACCCATTATAAATCAAAAACAAAATCTTAAAATCAACCCAGAAATCAATGGGCAGTCAGAGAGGCTTGCAGAGCACAGGTTCAATATGCATGCAGAAGGAAACCTCACTTAAGCAAGTCACCAAACTCTGTACCAGCTGAAGTTTCTGAATATATTTAACATGCAGTCCTATGTAGAACATATTGCAGTACCTAATCTTGACGTAACAGAAACATGGATGAAAATTGCAATATGTATCCACAAGAATGGGTACAACCTCCTAGCTGCCCATAGATCAAAAATAGCTGACCAGTCTGTAGCTGCTACCTGATGTTTGCACATGCTAAACAAGATGAATGGCAAATTAGAACCCTATGCAACTGAACAGGAAAGTGCCCTGAGAGAGGAACAGCAATCGCCCAGAGTGCTCTGCAGAGTAAAAACAGAGCCACCTGATCAGCCCCATTCACCAATATTACTGTACACAAATATATCAGCACCCTCTGGATGAAAACAGGTTTCTCATGCACAGATCTGGTTCTCAGACATTTATGATCTTAACTTTTCTAAAAATCTCAGTGCAGTCACTTACTTGGTTGTTTTAATCTGACAACCCTGAATATGAAAGCACGGCTTACCCAGCTAGCACCTCTGGCAGGGCCCCCATCTTAATGGGATCTGCTGTATGCAGAGGAGAGATAGCAGCAGTTTCAACCCATTACTCCCCACAACCTCGATCCCCCCTTCCCTTAAAGTCCCCTCCCTCACTTTATCCATACTCACTCCTCTCATTTTTCTAGGCCTGCTGGCTGAGGGCTCAATCCTTCCTTCAAGCCTTGACTAGAGACACCCACCCTAAGCAAGGAGGATAGAGGCCTCTTGTCACCAGCTACCCCCTTCATCCCAGCACTTGAACAGCGAGGGTTGCCCCCCTGAGGGCATCCCCGACTCAGACAGCCCTGTCCCCCAGGCCTGCAAACGGACAGATTTCTCCCCCCGTCCTCAGTGCCTGGCCCTACACACCCACCATTCTGAGCCCGGCAGGGAAGGGGCCATCCTTCAGGCAGGGCACAAAGGGTATGTGGTGATGGAGGAAGCTCCCCTCCCCTAGGCCCTGCGAGCTGAGCAAGGAGGCTTCCCCCTTTGCCCTCCTCTCCCCTAACCTGGGGCCTGCAGGCTAGCACTGGGGCTCCCCCGCCGCCCTCTCTTTGGGCCTGCAGGCTGGGCTGAGGGGCTCCCCCATTCTCCTCTGCCCTGCCTTGAGAGACCCAGCAGCTGGGCTGAGGGGCTCCCCCGAGCACTCACTTGATCCTGGATCCCATGGTCTCTGGGGGGCCGCATGGGCCCGGGGCGGGGGTGGAGGGGCTCGGTGGGCTGTGCTCTCTCCTCCGCCTGCCCCTCAGACTCACTCCATCCCAGCCAGCGCCAGGGTCGCCCAGGCAGAGTCACAGAGCGGCGCAAAGGCTGCTGGGAGCTGTAGTACGGCCTCGGCCCGGCCAGCAGGGGCAGCGGGCGGACTTGGCGGCCTGGCTCGCCGCCGCGCCCGTGTTGTCATAGCAACGCGGAGCAAGAGCGCGCGCAGCGTTCAAGCGCATTCAGCGTTTCCTGAGGGGAAAGAGGAACCTGCCCCCTCCCCCCAACTTAAACACGGGGCGTCCCCTTCAGAGAGCCCTGCCAGAGACTCATAAAGAGGGACCGGGATACCTCCCCGCAAGACACCACATAACCCGACCTACCTCCCCATACTCCATAGACGGGGCCAGGACCACCACCACCTTTCGGCTCCTGGCAGCGACCCTCCCCTAGACCAGTTTCTCAGCCTGATACCAGGGCCTGGCTTGCAGCCTTCCTAAACTGTTGCCAGGAAAATCTCAGGGACCAGCGCAGGTTCACAGACCAGTCTTTGAGAAACACTGCCCTAGAGCATCCCAGAAACAGAAGCCGGGCTCCTCTTCTAGCACACCTTGTAACGGTGGCTGGGATGCCCCCACCAGGACATCCTGAAATTGAGACTGCCCCTCATCCGGACCCACGAATACCCTGTAAATGGGATCTGGACATTCCCTCAAATGCCCCACAGAAAGGGGCCAGGCCCACAAATGCCCTGTAAATATGGTTCAGAGTCCCTCCATAACACAACATAAATAGGGGCTGAGACCTTCCCCCCCCCCCCCGGCATCTTAAAGACCCTGTAAATGAGGGCCAGCACCAGTCCCCACTAAAATGCCCAGTGAATAGTGGTTTGGCCCTCCCAGTAGAGTGTACTTCCCATATATAGGGATTGAACCTTCTTCTCCAAACAGAGAATCATCATCTCATAAATAAGAATTGACAAATTCCCCCAGCCTCCGATAGGTACAAAATACCCCCCGTGTACAGGGACTGGAAAAACCCATCTCAAGAGGCAACACTGGTTTTGGAAACGGTAGAATTTCCAAGGAGAAAGAAATTGTGAGCAGGGATTTCTGTTGAACCAAAATGCAACAAATTGCAGAAGAAGTCGCAGAAATCAAAGCTGTCCAAGAGGCAATATATAAGCAGGCCACAAGGAATAACAAGACCTGAGGAAGAAAATAAAACAGGATCTGGAGGTTTTTTTAGAAGGAAGTGAAGGCAGAGATGAGATCCATTCAGTTTAAAATAAACATTCTGCTGGATCTAAAATTACAAAGGGTCTGGACAGATTTTGAAACCCATCTACAGCATGCCCAGTCAAGACTGGCAAGCAGGATAAAAGAGGTGATGGGCAACTTGATTACTGTGGACTAAATACATTTCCAAGATATGGAAATACCCAGAAAGCTCTGGCCAACTCCGAACTCGTTAGAATAAGAGATGAGCTGCAGCAAGGAATTAAAGAGCTGAAAAATTAGAGAAGAAACTCCAAGGGTTGCAGACCATTGTGGAAAACAGCTGCTGGGGGATGAGGAATCACACCAGCCAGAGCACTTGAACAAGATAGGACATTTATAAACTCTTCAACCCCATTTGTATACCAAGGTAGCCCAGCTAGGAGGGATCAGACAGTCCCAGTTCAAGTAATACAAAAGCCAACATAAAAAATACAATAGTGATCACTGAAGGGAAAACTTCCTGGGAGGCTTATTAGTCTAACTTTAATATCATATCTCAAATAAATGATGGGGGAGATGAAGAGAGGGGTGTTTTTGATAGCTAACTTGAGTGTACCAGATCTGATGATGCTCCAGAAAAAGACTGAGTTATCAATAGATGTCTGAAGCAATTTGGAGCCAGCCATCAACCTAATCTGGCCAGGACTACGAGGAGAAGGGAACAAGAGATCCCACCTTAACTGGCAGAGGGCCATATGAGATTGTTGTCTGGCAAATCTAGATACCAGGGGGACAAACTGGAAATGGTCCATTTTATTGATGCTTAACTTGACATGCTCTTGCTAATTAAGATCACCAAAAGGAAACCAAGGACACTGTTTAGTGGTGATATCTGCTACAGCACTGAAGTCCTTCCAAGCAACAGCCAAGCAGAAAAGAAAGCAGTTGCAAGTGAGAATGACGGAAACTCTCTGACATGAGCCTTGTAAGTACAAATCTGTATTTAACATGCTTGATGCAAAAGAGGATTTTAATTTGAGTCATGACATTTTGAACAATTAGGCCTGCTTTACACTTGAAAGTTTTACCAGAATAACTATTTCAGTTAGGATTGTGATTTTTTTACTGAAATTATTACACTGATAAAGGCTCTAGAGTGGACACAGTCATACTGGTATAAAGGTAACTTGTACTGACATAGTTATACCCCTTCCGGTACAAGAATAGATATGCTGGCATAAGGCACTTTTATATAAAAATTGTTAACAAAGACTGACAATAACAAAAAATAAAGGAAATAATTCTTGTAAGTTTGAAAAAGATTTGCCCCAAAAAGGAATGTTATAAATGCAAGGCAAGCCAGGACAGAGTGTCAGAAGTTTGTAAGGAAAGTTCCTCACCCAGTTTGGGAAAACAGGCTGACACCAAGCTGAAGGGGCAAAGGTTGGTGATACAAGAAGTAGCTTTACAAGTTGGGGTTTTTTTTGTTTTTTGCTTTTTGCTTTTTTTAGATCTGGTCAGTTGAATAACAGTAATAAGTATAAAGATCGGGAAGTACTTGTGGTACCTTAGAGACTAACAAATTTATTTGAGCATAAGGTTTCATGGGCTAAAGCCCACTTCATCAGATGCATGCAGTGGAAAATACATATAAAAATAATGCCCCTCTGCCATGTACATTGGCCAAACTGGACAGTCTCTACGCAAAAGAATAAATGGACACAAATCAGACGTCAAGAATTATAACATTCAAAAACCAGCCAGAGAACACTTCAGCCTCCCTGGACACTCAATTACAGACCTAAAAGTTGCAATTATTCAACAAAAAAACTTCAAAAACAGACTCCAACGAGAAACTGCAGAACTGGAATTAATTTGCAAACTGGACACCATTAAATTAGGCTTGAATAAAGACTGGGAGTGGATGAGTCATTACACAAACTAAAAACTATTTCCCCATGCTAATTTTTCCCCGACTTTGTTACTCACACCTTCTTGTCAACTGTTTGAAATAGGCCATCCTGATTATCACTACAAAAGTTTTTTTCTCCTGCTGATAATAGCCCACCTTAATGGATGAGTCTTGTTAGATTTGGTATGGCAACACCCATTTTTTCCTGTTCTCTCTCTATATATATCTGCCTACTGTGTTTTCCACTGCATGCATCTGATGAAGTGGGCTTTAGCCCACGAAAGCTTTTGCTCAAATAAATGTATTAGTCTCTAAGGTGCCACAAGTACTCCTCGTTCTTTTTGCTGATACAGTCTAACATGGCTACCATTCTGAAATCAGTAATAAGTATAAGACTATTGAAGAGATTAATAGAAAATGTGCAATGTACAGGAATTGTGGACACTGACTCAAATGTAACAGTTATTAAACTAGATATACTAAAATGCTAAGGTCTGGAAGACCCTGAATAAACAGCCTTATTGGTCTCACATGGAGACAATGACTGAAGAACATGCACTCATCCAAAAAATGTGGAAAATTAGGATTAAAAATTGGACCTCAAGAACTGGAACAAGAGGTCTGGGCAACTGAGATAATGGATGGCATCATAATGACTAATAACTATGTAATAAATTCCAGGAAAGGTGTTGTCATAAGATAGCAGTGGCCCTTTAAGAAGGAAGAGGCCAGTGCATTTGTGATTGATCACTTGACCCACAATTAGACTTAAAAGAGCATGCTGAGGCCTTAGAGGAGAGGGCTTTGAAGGAAGTCATGAAGAGTAGATCAGAGTAGCCTGATAACAGGGTCAAAGAGGGACAAGTTAAAACTGCCTGAGGGGGAGAACAGAGACCTGGGGAGAAAAGCTGCTACAGAGATCCAATGGGAGGAGCATAAGGTTGACAGTGAGAACAATTAGCAGGTTGAGTGTTTTGTATGAACAAAAATGGTAAAAAGGGAACCACAAAATACATGCCATTGCATCTAGTAAATACTGACAAAAGAAAACAGAAAAATTTTAAAGGGATTGGGGAGCGGGGGCATGGAGAAGTTTTGAAGGTGAACTCCAAGACTTCCTTCTGGAGTTGTTCCAGCACAGTGCTCTACACTCAAAGAGCTTTACAAACCATAGAGGGATTGTATTATGAATGTATAAATAATTGATTCTTCAGCCAGTCCTTGGGCCTCAGACATCAGGAAAAAATGGTCAGAGTTCCATATTCTGTGTAGACTACAGAAAATTGAATTAAGTTATTTAGAAGGATTATTTTCTATTATTAGCAGCAGATACTTTAGTTTTCCGCAACAGATCTTAAAACTAGGTATTGGCAAGTAGAAGTGGATCCAAAGGACAGGGGAAAGACTACTTTTGCATCTGGAGAAATACTGTGATTACTTAAATTAATGGTTTTTGGCTTGTTTAACACCCTGCCACCTTTGAGAGGCTTATGGAAGGGTATTGTATGGCATACCTGTCTCAACCTGTCTTATACCTGGATGATATCCTGATGCATGCTGAGACTTTTTTGAGCAGGAATTGATACATGTACAAATGGTCTTTGATAAGATTAAGGGTGCTAAACTGAAACTGAACTGAAATAAATGTAAGCTATTTCAAAAAGATGTGACCTACCTCAGGCACACAGCTAGTGAGGAGAGATTTACACTGTCAAAAAGACAATTTTAGATGTTTGGGTTTGTAAGTATTATAAAATCATTGGATAGGTTGAACAAGAAGGGGAAACCAAGCTGCAAGGCCTTGAAATCTGCTACCTCTCAGCAGAGAGGCAACAGTAAGTACTTAAGAATGCTCAGTGGTTTCCCCCAAAATAAATAATAATAAAACCCTAATGGAGGCAAACTTTATCAATATGCTTTCTGTTCTTACCAGATTTCTGCCCAAGTGGGAACTCAGACTGACCCTGGCTGGGTAAGTCAGGTTCAAAGCACTTCTACTTAGCCCCTTGAGCTATCTGGCTGGTATG